AGCTTTCTCATTTCATTGCATGCTTTCCTGTGAAACCACTGGCACCCTTAATTTATTTCTTATCCCTTAACTTTTTATATTTTATCTCTTTGCAACTGGAGAATAAGTTCCTGGAGGACAGGAGGGGTACACCATAATTTCCTATAGTCCTCCCGGTATCTTCCGAAGTGTATTCACAAACAGGCACTTATTTAAGGGTGTGAGATGTACCTTGGCAGTTTCAAAAGTAGAATCACTTTTTAAAAAGGAAATATCAGCTCCATTTCTTTGACAGCAGTATTGAACTATCTGTCATCTTATTCAGCCATACACATATGTGCAGGAGGAAGCTGTCTTCCAGAGCCTTCTATAAGACGCAAGCTCCTATAACAAGCAACTTGCACAAAACACAGTGACAACAGCCTGGAGCTGAAGAGCCCAGGCTGTGGAGAGACTGCCTGGGTTTCTACGGAGGCACTGACACTTTCTGTCCTTGTGATCTTAGGCAAGTCATGAAACCTCTCTGCCCTTTTGTTTCCTAATGTGTGAAAAGAGGAATGATAACAGCACTTGCCTCAGCGGACAAGTGTGAGAATTCACCAAGAACATAACAAGTACTTAGAAAAGTGCCTAGCACACAGCAGATAACAGATGCCAGTCATTATTATCCTAGATTAGATGAAAAAACCTACCTGCAGGTAAAAAAATAAAATCTGCTATTAAAATGTATAATCTATTTTCAAGAGCACATAAGATTATCTAAGCAAAATTACAAGTAAAGCCAACAGTAATCTTTTTAGGCTTATGCTCTAGCCCCTAGTGGTACTCCAAATACCCAAAGTGGATCTGGAGGTGAAGTGTTTCTGTACCACTGATCTGAGAAGAAGGCTCACAGTCTCTCTGACTGCAGTAAAAATATTTGTACATCCACATGCAAGGGGCTTCAGCAGCCTCACTGGTAATGGCACGATGCAGACCCTCAGTAATTACTGTTTGTTAGAATAAATGAATAAAATGCTCCACTTACTATACTAGGCAATTTTAGTAACAGAGGTCTTTAAGTGTAGAATTTTCTTTGTTAAAATGTACAGATAAAGGTGTCTCTGTGTGTCCTTCGACTATAGCAACTATAATACACAATGATCTCCAGGGGAACACTTTTCTGCTTTGCTGTTCTTTATATGACCTGATCTAATTAATTTCAAAATGAAAGGAAACACAATACATTATAGTTACATGAGCCAATTAACTGATTAATTGAACACTATGAACCTCATGGAAGTTTAAACATAGAGGACTGTTTTTCTCAATTCTCTGACCTCAGCAGCGCAATGCCAAATCTCCCTTCCTAGCTAGAGTAGATTCCTGAAAAAAATACCTGGAATAGATCCCAGAAATTTCAGGTCATTTTTGGCTACTAAAAACCCACCCAGTTTAAAATGTCAATCAAATGCCCGAAGCAGGGACTTCCCCAGGGCACCTCCTTGGTTCCAGGGTGCTGGGAAATGGGGAGGGGTTCTCACTACGCCAAAACTGAGTGTGCAGGCCGACCTAAATCTGTTTCTATCTGCTGCCAGCCTTCCTCAATGTTCTTTTTGCCTGCTCAAGCGGGTGCAAGGCACCATAATAATTACATGCCTACAGTATTTCTTGCTTCTCGCCAAAAGAAGAGATTTCCTGCAAGCAACAACCCCTGTCTCTCAGGCCCACCCACAGGGATGAAGGTAGGAAGGGTCAGCAGTTCTTGAACTGGTGGCTGGCCCTTCCTTCACAAGGCACAAAGCCTCTGGTTGAGCGGACAGAAGGAGGAATAGTGGAGGTAAAACTAACTGCCCATGGTTATGTCTTTCTCTGTCAGTTTCTAACTCAGCATAAGACTGAATGACCTTGACAGAGGATGCCAAGAACAGAGATTACAGACAAAATATTTAACAGGCAGGGTGCCAAGCGATCAGAAGGGGCGTGGCCTCAGGACTAGAATGGGGTGCTAGGGACCCCCGGCTGTGCCCTCCAGTTTCTAGAAGGACAGGAGAAGCCCAGGAATGCTGGCAGACTTGCTGCAAGGGTACTCATGGAAGTTGGGTTCCAGTCTTTTTACTAACAATGAGGAAGTATTTTGGTATTTTAGTCCCTGGACAGCTGTCCTGGTACAAACCAGCTGAGTATCACTTTTGCTTGCAGGAGCCCCTCAGAATGTCCTGAGTCAGAGATAGGATGGTTCTAGGCCTGCCCTCTGCCAACCGCTCCCCACCAATGTCCCGTGGCCTCTTGCCTGATCAAGACGAACTACTTTCTACATGCCCACTTGGCCCCTGGAAAACTCATGTTATCTTTGCCATGCCAAGGCAGAGAGTGCAGCAGGCTATTCAAGTCTCTCCCTGCTGCTGATTTCCTCCAGTTCTCTTCTTGCCTGGCCAGAGAGATGAAGGGCACATCAATAAACCGACATCTAAAACACTGCTTCCTTCTCACCAAAGAATGAGAAGATACTTCTTGCAGTACCACCCTCAGTCTTTAACAGGGGTTCTCTCAGATCTGTCTTCATCCTGCTTGGCAGGGGCCAGAGGTGAAGAAGGGAAAGCACTTTGCTGTTTCCCTCCTCAGGACAGGAAGGAAAAATGACAGTATTCCAGATGACTGCAGAACCTATGATACCCCACCCATGGGGTTGGGGTGGGGACAAGAGAGGAAACCCCTGGAGTGGCAGATGGGATGGTAGCTGGATTAGGCCTTCTCTTTATAAATCGCAGGAGAAGGGTCTGGCCCAAACTGAAGGTGGCTTTCCCTTTGGAACGTGTGAATTTAAAGCTGTTCCTTAGGATTTCGGACAACCGCACCAGTTCTGGGCCACAGGAAAATTCCTCCTCAATATCCTGTGATATTTATTTAAAGAGGTACCCAAATAATTAAATACTATATTTTATTCAATAAAAAGGAACACCGAACACACAAGGAATAAAAAATAACCGAGGAAGCGTATTTCTACTGGTGATTATTTGGAGATGCTGATTAATCTACGTGCACATATTTATGTTTTAATTAGAAATTGGGAAGGTTTTGGGATGTTACTCTAAAACACACTCCATTAGCATTATGGCATCATATTCATGTGGTGCAAATAATACTGTGAGAAGATTTTCCTGGTAAATTATTTCTTAGCAATCCTGCTTCATCAAAAGCATGTATTTTTACTTGCATGTTATACGAAACTAAGTCTGAGTATAAGCTGATTTGCTATAATTGGAAGAGGCTTACTGCAGTCATTTTACCCCTTTAAATTATGATACCAGCATTCAAACATCTGTTAAACCATAGCATCTGTTTCATATTTGGGATGCAACCCTACAAATTAGAAGAATGTTCTTTTTAATGAGCTCTGATTTAATGGGGAATCCTTTTTTTTTAATGACTATTATGCAAAGAAAGGAAATGAGAAGACAAATTCATCTTTCTAGCAACCCCCACAGCAAAGCACCTCTAAGGCCCACACATTTATAATTCAAAACTATTTAATAAACATATATTCATAAGTTTTACTATTGTCTACTGTTTTGTTTTTACTGTTGTTTAATATTTAAAAGACCATATGTATATGATTGTATATGTGTACACATATCCCCCCTATGAAATGCAGAAAGGGCCATATATTCATATTATTTAAGAAAAATAATCACGTTTTTGAAATAAATTGTCTTGACAACTATATAGTCTTAAAGATACTAGACAAATTCATGACCTCATTGTCTCTCTGTTTATTAAGACATGTTTACAGCTCTAACTCTAAAGGCACATTCATTGTGGGCCTTCACCACGTGCGATCTTTACCATGTTAATTTTATCAGAAATAGTATTTTGCCACTGACTCACTCAGGTTTTTTTTAAAAACTATTTTCTGCGGTCTTCATAAGTTTTCTAGTGATTTGTAGCCCTTTGAGTCTGAATTTGTCTCACACAAGAAGCATGTAAGCTTCATATCAGACAATGAATTAGTTGTCCCACTGTCCACGTACTTCTTTACTGTACTAGGCCTCTGTATTTTTATATTTCTAATTTGGATCTGGCTAGACTTTAAAAGCTTAATTTAAAGATATTTAAAACTCCTAAATTTTTATGATACAAGCTACCATAAAATTTAGAAAATGACAAGTCATGCCATTAAGTTCAATCTACTCAAAAGAATTTATAAAAGCACCATATCTCACACACACACACACACACAAAACAAACTCAGAAGGAACTCACTAGAAGGAAGCCAGAAAAAAACAGAGAAAAAAAAAATTTAATACAGAGATTTCTGGTCACCCATTTCATACCTCTTAATTTGTCTTACCGAAAGAGAAAACTGCTACTCTAGTGCCCAGGTGCTAAAGACATTTCAGCCCCACATGTTCCCTTAAGGCAGAGCGGGAACATTTTGGCCACGGCTCCTGCTCGCCCAGCAACAACCACTTCCAATTCCCACCAAGTGAGGGCTCTGTTGGTCACAGGTTTTACAAAAGCATATTTTCTGCTTTGCCAAAAGAATCGTAGCATTTTATACCCATGTCACATCAAATGTACAACTGATAGATGTTATAAAACCAGGCTTCAGAACATGTCACTTGAGTTCTTCACTAAAAAAAAAAAAACCCAAATTAAGACATCAACCACCTGGTTTAAAAGTACTGATTTCCAGATGTTGTAAGAGAATCAGAGAAGAGGAAAACCACCTAGGCTATTCTTCTGTATTCAGGGTGGACTTATTTATTAACCAATAAGAGAGAGACAAAAACCAATCTTGGTTTAAAATACTACTTGTGGAAAAGATTTTGCAATTTCCCTGGGTAACTTTTTTCAATGCTTAATGACTTTTAGAAGCAAAATTGTTTTCCTTAAATTAAAGGTTAACTCTCTTGTTGAAAATTATATACAGCACACTTTATGATCATGGTGAGATGGGACAGTGAGGGAACACTCATCATAACTTCTGTCTAACTTGCACTGGCTGCAGATCTTATCTCAACATATTCTTAGAAACTTGCCTCTGCCAGTTGAAAGAGTGCAGATTTTCCACAGCGTTTTACAGGTTCAGCACCACCCAACTGCGACGTGTTTGAAGAAATCTGTATTGAAAAAAAAATCCACATAAAGAATATTGACTGTGATATCAGAATCTTTGCTTCCCATTCACATGCATTCAGGAACTTTCCTTAGTTTATGAGAACATCATTGCTCCCAAGGACCAAATAACTTTAAACGTGTCACGCTTGGGGTTATAATTTTGAAACCAATTTTAGTAAATAACCTCAAAAATAATAATGAAAAACAGGTGTGGCTTGGGTGGCTGCTTGATGACAAGAGTATTATTATTATCTTGAGTATTCCAGGCTTTAAATTTAACTCTATATCCTTAAAACAAGGCATGCATTTCCATTTCTATATAAATACCAACTCATCAACTGGCCAAATATAAAAGAGATTTAGGTTCATTTTGTATTTACCAAAGCATTTAGTTAATTTTTTAAAGAAATAGATTTGGAACTACTGTGGAAAGATAGCTTCAAGTCAGTCAACAAATATTCTTCTGAGACTCTAATACACATGTGAGACGCAGTATGACAGAAGCTGGGGAAGCTAAGAGTTTTATATAAAACATTAGCACTGGCTCTCAGAGTATGCTCTAAAGGACACCCAAAGACTGACAGTCAAGATCACAAATCTCAGGAAGCTGCACAGTTAAGGCCTGTACCGTAGCACTTCAACATATATGCAGCATTACATCATGACTGCACACTCTTCTGCAAATTTGGCTGAACAGCAGCCAGTCATTGATAGCACTGTGCTTTCTCACTTTTATGAGAAAACTTCATTTTCAATGTCCAGCTTAACTCAGTAAAGAGCTGAGAAGGACATATATTCTTGAGGAATTTTACAAAGTATTCTTCTCCTGGAGAAGTTCTGTCATCATTAGGGCAGCTGGCTACAGTCTAAGCTTTTATATTCTTTGTGATACTGAATTTTTCTCACTTGAAGACAGAGGGTTCTCTCAGTTCAGTTTAGGAGGCAGTCCTGCCTTGTAACCATATCGTTACAGGTGACCCCAAGTCCCACAGCGAATTCTATGGAGTTCTCAGTTCCAGGACAGACTGGATGCTAGCTGCTACAGAAAATTTTTCTGTAGAACTTCTAACCTGCTGAATAAGAGACCTCTGCAGAGGCAAATATTTCATAAGCTACCTGGGCCATTTAGAAGGAAATCGTTTAAGAAAATTTTAAAGAATTTTTCTTCCTAGGTAATACCATTTTTAACAGAATCCTTTCCTGTTTATCCCAATCACTTACTTTTCCTTTACAAGATCAACTTACAGGCTGAATCTTTCTGAGGTTTGGAGTATTTTCCTCTAGCTGAATTTTCTGATATATGCCACTTCTACTTTTTCTAGACAAGGTGAATTCAATTACTAACCTTATCACCAGACTAAGAGAAACAAACACACTTAATATAATCACTGACTCTGAGTGACTTGAGGGAAAGCAGTACTGAACATAAATGCCAGTCTGTTGAACCAAGACTGTATATCAG